GCTAGTGCATCTTTCTGCTTCATGAGAAGTAGCAGCTTTTATGGCAATTTTCTGTACTGCAGAGACAACTTCCAGGGTCCTTCTAAGTATGTCTGCAAATGAAGGCTGTATTGTAAAAGTCCCTTCTATAGATACATTTCCATCTTCCTAAGGGCTGGATCATGTCTGATATTGGGGATTCTCTTTCAGGCTTTTAATCTTAATTCAGGCTCTTGCTTCAGTCAGTTCATACTGCAGGTTGGCTACCTTTTCCCACATTACCTTGTAGTTCCACCCTGATTTCTCTCAACATTTGAAAGAGTGCATCTTCTAGCGAGACATTTTGTCCTCCTCCTCTCTCTGTGTTACGTCTGCTCCCTGCCATGTTTGTTTCCAATTCCAGTTCTCCAATCCAATGAGCGTGTATGTTTGTGTGTGTGTGTACTTACTTGCCTAGTTACCTAGTTGTACTTACCTAGTTGTGCTTGCAGGGGTTGAGCTCTGGCTATTTGGTCCCGCCTCTCAACGGTCAATCAACTAATGTACAGATTCCTGAGCCTACTGGGCTCTATCATATATAAACTTGAAGCTGTGTATGGAGTCAGCCTCCACCACATCACTTCCTAAAGCATTACATTTCTCTGCAATTCTGACACTGAAAAAAATATTTTTAACGACTCTATGGCTCATTTGGGCACTCAGTTTCCACCTGTGTCCCCTAGTGCATGTGCCCCTTGTGTTAAAAAGTCCGTCTTTATCTACCCTATCAATTCCTCTGAGAATCTTGTATGTGGTGATCATGTCCCCTCGTCCCCTCTAACTCTTCTGTCTCCCAGTGATGCGAGGTTTAATTCCCGTAGTCTCTCCTCGTCACTCATACCCCTCAGTTCGGGTACTAGTCTGGTGGCAAACCTTTGAATCTTTTCCAGTTTAGACTTATGCTTGACTAGATATGGACTCCATGCTGGAGCCGCATACTCCAGGATTGGTCTGAGATATGTGGTATTTAATGTTCTGAAAGATTCCTTACACAAGTTTCTAAAGGCCGTTCTTATGTTGGCCAACTTGGCATGTGCCGCTGATGTTATCCTCTTGATATGAGCTTCAGGGGACAGGTCTGGCGTGATATCAACCGCCAGGTCTTTCTCTCTCTCTCTCTGACTCTTGAAGTATTTCAACTTACAAATGATACCTTGTATCTGGTCTCCTGCTCCCTACACCTATCTTCATTACATTACATTTGCTTGGGTTAAACTCTAACAACCATTTGTTCGACCATTCCTGCAGCTTGTCCAGGTCTTCTTGAAGCCTCAAGTTGTCCTCCTCTGTCTTAATCCTTCTCATAATTTTGGCATCGTCAGCAAACATTGAGAGGAATGAGTCTCTACCTTCTGGGAGATCATTTACGTGTATCAGATACAAGATAGGTCCGAGTACAGAGCTCTGTGATACTCCACTGGTGACTTCACGCCAATCTGAGGTCTCACCCCTCACTGTAACTCTTTGCTTCCTATTGCTTAGGTACTCCCTTATCCACTGGAGTGCCCTACCAGTTACTCCTGCCTGTTTCTCTAGCTTATGCATCAGCCTTTTATGGAGTACTGTGTCAAAGGCTTTCCGACAGTCCAAAAAAATGCAGTCCGCCCATCCTTCTCTTTCTTGTCTAATCTTTGTCACCTGATCGTAGAATTCTATTAAGCCTGTAAGGCAATGATTCCACCCTGAACCCATGTTGATGGGTTGTCGCGAAGTCCCTTCTCTTCAGATGTGTTACTAAGTTTTTTCTCACGATCTTCTCCATCACCTTGCATGGTATACAAGTTAAGGACGCTGGCCTGAAGTTAAGTGCCTCCGGTCTGTCACCCTTTTTGTATATTTGAACTACATGAGCCGTCTTCTATATTTCTGGTAGTTCACCCGTCTCCAGTGACCTACTATACACTATGGAGAGTGGCAAACAAAGTGCATCTGCACACTCTTTCAATACCCATGGAGATTGTGTTTGGACCACCAGCCTTTCTCACATCCAGATCCAACAAGTGTATCTTGACCTCATCTCTTGTAATTTCGAACCCATCAATGGCCGCCTGGTTTATTGCCACCTCTAATAGAGCAGTGACCTAACATCGTTCTGTTGTGAAGACCTCCTGGATCCTCTTTTTGAGTTCTTCACACACCTCTTTGTCTTTCTCTGTATACTTGTCCTCACCCGGTTTAAGTTTCATCACCTTTCCTTTCACTGTTGTTTTCCCTACCTTGAGGTGCTTCCCTCCTGATGTGACTGTGGAGAAGCTTTGGTTCGGTCTTGGCTTTACTTGCTATATCATTTTCATATTTTTCTCTGCTTCTCTTCTGGCACTAACATACTCATTCCTGGTTCTCTGGTATCTCTCTGTGCTTTCTGGTGTTCTGTTATTTCAAAAGTTCCTCCACGCCCTTTTGTTCATTTCCTTTGTTTCCATACATGCCTCATTAAACCACGGAATCTTCTTTTGCTTCACGGATTTTTCCTTTTGGGCCGGGATAAACCTGTTTACTGCCTCCGGACACTTCTGGGTGACATAGTCCATCATGTCTTGTACAGACTTTGCTCTAAGTTCCTTGTCCTGTATATCCCTTTGGAAACCTCTCATCTCCTCATAATTTCCCTTTCGGTACACAAGCCTTTTGTTTACTAGTTCTTTTTTGGGGAGATAATTCCTAGCTCTATCATGTACTCAAAGATCAATACACTGTGATTACTCATTCCCAAGGGTGCTTCCAACTTAACTTCCCTTATATTCCACTCATTTAGGGTAAACATCAGATCAAGCATGGCTGGTTTGTCTTCCCCTCTCATTCTTGTTGGTCCCTTGATGTGTTGGCTTAGAAAGTTTCTTGTTGCCACGTCCAGCAGCTTAGCTCTTCATGTCTAGTCTTCCATGTGGGTCTCTGTTCTCCCAATCTATCTTCCCATGGTTAATGTCTCTCATGATTAGTAATCCAGATCCATTCTTGCTAGCGATAGAAGCTGCCCTCTCTATTATGTTAATGTGTGTGTGTGTGTGTGTGTGTGTGTGTGTGTGTGTGTGTGTGTGTGTGTGTGTGTGTGTGTGTGTGTGTGTGTGTGTGTGTGTGTGTGTGTGTGTGTGTATTCACCTAGTTGTGCTTTCGGGGGTTGAGCCCTGCTCTTTCGGCCCGCTCTTTCTTTTTTTACACCACACACACACACACACACACACACATACACACACACACGCACACACACACACACAAACACACACATAGCCTCGTGGGGCCTCGTAGCCTGGTGGATAGCGCGCAGGACTCGTAATTCTGTGGCGCGGGTTCGATTCCCGCACGAGGCAGAAACAAATGGGCAAAGTTTCTTTCACCCTGAATACCCCTGTTACCTAGCAGTAAATAGGTACCTGGGAGTTAGTCAGCTGTCACGGGCTGCTTCCTGGGGCGTGTGTGTGTGGTGTGGGAAAAAAATAGTTAGTAAACAGTTGATTGACAGTTGAGAGGCGGGCCGAAAGAGCAGAGCTCAACCCCCCGCAAACACAACTAGGTGAATACATCTAGGTGAATACACACACACACACACACCTGTTGATTGACGGTTGAGAGGCGGGACCAATAAGCTAAAGCTCAACCCCCGCAAGCATAACTAGGTGAGTACAACTAGGTGAGTACACACCAGGAAGCAGCCCGTGACAGCTGACTAACTCCCAGGTACCTATTTACTGCTAGGTAACAGGGGCATAGGGTGAAATAAACTCTGCCCATCGTTTCTCGCCGGCGCCCGGGATCGAACCCGGGGCCACTGAATCACATGTCCAGCGTGCTGTCCGCTTGGCCACCGGCTCCGGCTGTGTGTGTGTGTGTGTGTGTGTGTGTGTGTGTGCCCAAAATAGTTTTCTGGTTTGTCCAACTTAATAGTTCAGATTTCTACTTTCTAATTTCGCTGTACGTCGGTATATATACTATGGTTCACATCATTACTATAAGAACTACCAAATAATATTTGGTAGTTCTGCTATATTTAGATAAGGACCGACGTGGTTTACGGCTATATTTAGATAAGGATAGATGTGGTTTATGGGTATATTTAGATAAAGACTAACATGATTTATGGCTATATTTAGATAAGGACCAACATGATTTATGACTGTATTTAAATAAGGACCGACGTGGTTTATGGCTATATATAGAGCACAGCCATGAGGCTTTCTCCACGACCGTCTACGGGCTCACCATACCCCGTGCTACTTGGAACTTTTTGCTCCAAGTAGCGAATCTTAAACAATAACAACAACAACAACAACAGGCTTCCTCCAACAACAACAATATTTGCAATGAAAGCAATTGTTGACGTCATAGGTGTCTCGAAGAAAAACGTTAGAATATCCACAATTCTTAGCTATCTAGCTAAGATAATATCTATCCAAAACAGGGTGTTAGTAAAAGCACATTTGTGATAATCAAAATAAAATAAGAATCCCAAGTAGAATATTTTTTCTAAAATACATTTAGGTAGATAAATCCAGTTACCCAGCTCACGGACATAGCGGACTACGCAGCCAGAGTGCTCATGAGCAATGCCACGAGGGACTCCTGGTTCACCCCTGAAGATGAGTGGATATCTGGACACCTGCCCCGCCTGGGGCCGCTGGTTAACGGAACGACTTTATTGCTCTTTAGGTCATGATACCGCCGTTTGGCACTCCTCTTCACCAGTCTGCTTTTGACGCCCTGCTCCCTTATCGACTAATGTTTCAGGGAAGTTGATAGATTTTTTTGTTTTGTTCCCTGTTTTCTGGAAGGTTCTTTGGGCGAGGAGTTGATGTCAGACGATGGCTTGGCCGAGAGGTGCAGGGAGTTGGTGGGCATTGGTTGGCCCCCTGGTGTGCCCATGGATCCATGGTATGGTAGTTGGCTAGCTGCTGTTTTGCTTGGGAGGGGGGGGGGGGGTGGTTACTGTAAGATTTCGGTAATGTTTGTTCATTTGGGTTTGGAGTATTGGGGACTTTCATCCTTACGCAGTTTGGCTTCGACTTGTTCATCTACAAATTGGACGCCTGGTGCCTTGTCGTCTTGGGGCAACTGATTGTCGATAGACGGTTTTCCACTTGGCGCTCTGTGCGGTGGGTACTGGTGCTCGTCTCCATGGTGGATGCCTGTGTCACTGAGCACCCGCCATGCAATGTTATTATCTGCCGAAGGGTGCAGAAGTTTTTTCTGCAGTAGGGTGCGATGTGCAGTTAATCCAATGGGCTTCGATATTTTTTACCGGCTCACAAGACCGTAAAGGTGCATATGAACTTCGCTGTTGCCACCCCTAACCCATACAGCAACGAACATTGCCACGTGAGAATTTATGTTTTGTTTCAAGAACGTTTGGGAAAAGTATATTATTAAAATACTTTTTGCGTTATAGTGAAATTAGTGGCACAAGACTGTCCCTTGATTTTTGACAAGAACGGTGCAAAGTAAACTAAGTGAGGAGGAAAAGTAGGTGCAACACCAAGCCACTGGCAACAACGCTTCTATCTTCTTCACTACAGTCAACACTAATCAAAATAATTGTTCTTTACAACTACTGTGATTGGATAAGTATTCTTTCTACAAGACCTGAGCACCCTTGACCTCATTAACAATAAAACTACAGAGGCAGTTTGTGAGATCTTTGAATGAATCCATATCATTGTGTTACATAACCCTTTTTGTTTCAGATTATAAAAAGTCCTAGTTATATAATTGACTTTTGAGCCCACAAACAGTTATTAATAATAGTTATAAATATAACATAATTTAAATTACAAAGTTAAGATCAAATTTTGTTAAAAACAATCAAGCCCAGGCATCAAAATTTATAGATATTTATATACCTATATATCTATAAACATTATATTAATAGAGAAAAGTGCCTTTGCTAATGTGGGATTATATTCCAGGCTGATGAAAGCAGCAGGATGTCCTCGAAGAATTTCTTCTGCCCCCCCCCCTCCAACTGAACACATGACCTGCCTTAATTTTCATACAGCAGATGTTTTGGAAATCATCTCTCAGACATAAGACAGCATGACCAACCCATCAGGCCTGAGTTTTCTGTCGGAGGGTGTAGACGCTGGGAATAACTATAACTGCCCTTTCTAAGACCTTTGTTTCCATGATTTTGGCCTGCCACCTGATGTAGAGGAGTCTGCAGAGACTGCTCAAGTGAAAATGATTGAGGTGTTTGGCGTGTCTGCTGTAGACGGTCTCTTGCTGGCGTAGAGAAGAGTGGTGAGTACCACTGCATGGTAGACTTACAGTTTGCTTGAAAAGCTGATGCCCCACCGCTCCTGACATTCTCACGGAATCTTCGAAAGGCAGCTCTGGCCTTTGTGATCGTGTTGTTGTTTCTATATTTATATTTATATTTATGTATGGTGCAAAGATAGGTAACGTTGTCGACCGTCTCAATGTTCGGCCCCATGACAGTGATTTGTTGTTCCTGGTAGAGTATTCTGGGCTCGGTCAGATACATGATTTCGATCATTTTGGTGCTGGTGATGAGGCAGAAGTTTTTGCAGGCTTGTGGGGAAGCCGTCCATTTCGTGCTGCATCATTTGTTCTGTGATGGCGTTGAAGGTGCAGTCATCAGCAAACAGGAAGTCTAAGAGACTATCTGCTCGTTGACAGTTTCCTTCACCTTTGAAACGGCGTGCAGGCGCCTGAAGTAGAACAGCCCATCATCAGTCCTGTATCTGATGGGTATTCCATCATGGCAATCACGGAAGGTACCTGTGAGCATGGCCGAGAATACAATGCTAAATAGTGTTGCTGCAAGAACGCAGTTTTGCTTCACACCGTTTGTCACTGGGATGGCTTCTAACTCGTTTCCATAGCCCAGTACTTTCGCCATCATGTCATCTTGGAACTGCCAGACAATCGCAGTGAACTGGCCTGGACAGCCAAACGTCTTCATTATCTTCAACAAGCCATCTCTGCTGAGCGTATCGAAGGCCTTGGTTAGGCCGAAGGAGACGGTTGAGCAGGATACGAGCATGGATCCTCCCAGCGATAGACAGGACTGAAGTACCCCTTTGATTATCGAACAATTTTGAGTACTGAATGGATGAAACAGTGTTAATTGTGAATGGGTGAAACAGTGAGAATTCTGAATGAGTGAAACAGTGAGAATTCTGAATGGGTGAAAGAGTGAGAATTCTACATGGGTGAAACAGCGAGAATTCTGATTGGATTAAACATTGAGAATACTGAATGGTTACAACACTGAGAATTATGAATGGGTGAAACACTGATAATTATAAATGTGTGAAACACTGAGAATTATGAATGGGTGATACACTGATAATTATGAATGGGTGAGACACTGATAATTATAAATGTGTGAAACATTGAGAATTATGAATGGGTAATACACTGAGAATACTGAATCCATGAATTTGACAATACTGAATGGGCAAACACTGAGAATACCGAATGGGCGAAACACTGGGACTACTGAACGGGTGAAATACTGAGAATACGAAGTGGGTGAAGCACAGATTACCGAGGGGGGGAAGCACTGTAAATAACGAGTGGATGAAACAGTAGGAGTAAGTATAACTCAATGAGTACCGGGTGGGTGAGTTTGATGTGGGAGAGCATGTCTTCCAGCATCCAGCGCGGGGAGCCACAGTACCGGTAGTCTCCCCAGTACCACGCCCGGTCCTCCTCGTTCTCCGGTACACCTGGAAAGACATCAAACCACTGATTACTTTTCCAAGACTTATTATAGTACTATATGTACACACCTGACAAGTTCTTATAGTACAATACATACACACTTGACATATGTTCTTAATACCCTGAAAGTCAGCCTGATGAAAACTAGGCATTTAATGATTCTGTTCTTCCGCTATAAATTATAAGGTCAATTTTGGTTAGAGTATTTTAGAATGATAACGTTCACATGAACGTGTACAAAGAAGGATATCAAAGTTAACATCAGGAGTTAGAAACCTCTCCAAAGAACAAAGATTAAGAAATCAGTTAATTTACATTTTGAAAGGCAAAGAGCAAAGAGCATTCTTCAACAACATGATCGAATAATACGGATGAAGGAAAGTGAATAACAAGGGAGATAGTGATAGGGTGCTAATTATTTAAACACAACATTTTACTTACAAAAATAGATACTAATTAAATGTTTTAATTCATACTAGATATTAGTAAATACTCTTTTAGGAATAGCTGTAGATTTATGGAATAAATTAGCTGAATAGCCAACGTCAGATTGTTCGACTGCTTCAAGCTTAGGTTATACATAAACGCATGCAGGAATTTAGTTGGATACATGCTAAATTCCTGCATACATATAATTGAGCACATACTAGAGCAAGGGAACATTGAGCCTCGTTTGGAAGTTTCCTTCATTCGTATGTTCATATAATACATATGAATCACTCGATTATTAATTTTATGATTTACAACTCAGTATGGTAAGGCACAGATCAACATAGCAACCCACTACCTCATAGGACCAGATTTATAGTGTTCCACATGCTTTACCACACTGAGATACCAGACTGGGGGTATTTGGCATTCTAGGGCAGGGCAAACAAATGGTTGCTGGAGGTTCAGTCCCAACAAGTTTAAGTTAATGAACATAGAAAAGGGAGAAAGGAGACCAGGAGGAATCTACACCATAAGGTAAGGCAACTACAAGAATTGGAAAGAGAAAGATTTGGTTCGACCCAAGCAAAGTGTTGACCCAAGCAAAGTGTTGACCCAAGCAAAGTGTCGATCCAAGCAAAATGTCGACCCAAGCACAGGGTCGACACAAACGCAGTATCGACCCAATCACAGTGTTACACCCAAAATCAATGGATTCCCAAGCACAGTCGCGACGCAAGGACAGTGTTGACACAAGAACAGTATCGACTCAAGCACATTGTAGATCCAAGCACAGTGTAGCCCCAAGCACTTTGTAGACCCAAGCACTGTGTCGATCCATGTACATTGTCGACTCAATCAAAGTGTTGACCCAAGCACAGTGTCTACTCAAGCACAGTGTTCACTCAAGCAAAGTGTCGACCAAAGCCAAGTGTCGACCCCACACACAGTGTCAACCTGAAGACAGTGTAGACCCAAAAACATGGTGGATTTAAGCACAGTGTCAACCCAAACACAGTGTAGACCCAAGAACGTTTTAGATCCAATCATAATGTCGACCCAAACTCAATATCGACCCAAGAAAAGTGTCGATCTAAGCTCAGGTACGACCCAAACACAGGGTCGACCAAAGCACAGTTTCACCGTAAGCACAGTGTCGACCCAATCACAGTGTTGACTCAAAAAAAGTGTCGACCGAAGGACAGGGTCGACTTAGGCACAGTGTCGACCAAAGCACGGTGTCGATCCAAGCAAAGTATCAACCAATGCACTGTATCGATTCAAGCACAGTGTCGGTGCAAGTAGTGTCACCCCAAGTTCAGTGTCGACCAAAGCTCAGTATCCAACCAAGCAAAGGGTCAACCCAAGCAGTGTCGATCCAAGCTCAGTCTACCAAAGCACAGTGTCGATTGTGACGGAGTTCCCCCCCTTATAATTCTCCCACGCCTGCAGTAAGAGTCATGTCTACTTTTCCCAAGCGTTCTCTACGTTGCAGGCTACAATTTGATATATGGGAGAGAGTGAAGGGTTCTCGGAGAGCCGAGAAATTTGTGAAATAGTAATATTTTGGCCTGTGGTTTAGGCCCTTTAGGGAGCCAAGATGGCGCTTACCTCTCTGATCTCCCGCCAAAACCGTGTGACGTCAGTGGCACCGGATTGGTCACCGACAGCAGTGTGGCACCGGGAGCCAATGAAAACCTCCCGTAGCAAAAGTGACGTCACGAAGGAAGGGGGTCCGGCCAGCGCGCCGGGCTGGCGCCAGCAGTCAGATACGACACGTCATAGAGGTCGGACGTGCGACGGATGGACTTGTCAGTAGGACAGGTGTACCTCGCTCCCGTGGATTTACGCGTCATCTGAAGTCCGCCAGTGCTCTGAGAAGTCTTCCCTAGTTCATGTGTTGAACCAGAAGAGGGAATTGACGGTTATTTGAGCAACAAGTGCTCCAGTCAGGTACTGTGCCAGTAGCAGTGAAGCCGTGCAGTGACGTATATTGACGTCTGTGGCAATTCACCAGTTCGTGACAGCGTAGTGGCTGACAGAGCCACTGGGTAGCTGAGGAAGAGAGGACTATTTGGGGAAACCGAACGACTGTAGCTGAGACGTAGGCGACAGCCGTTGCTGGGAGAAGACGACGGCCAGGAGACCGACTCCAACCTTCAAGAAGTCAAGGAGGAGGACGGACCTGCAGTGAGGAGGCACGGAGACGACGCGCTAAACGGTGGGACGACGAGAGGCTCTGGTAGGACACGACGACGTGTAGTGTGGGGGCGTTCCCGACACGAGGACCAGGAGCTACATCTCGACTCTCATCGGAGGATAGGGTGAAGTAGGTGGTTCTAGTTCCCTCCCCATTCCCCTTTAGTTAGCTGTGTTATTTGGCTATATTATCTAGCCCGAAGATTTTATATGTCGTGAGTAAGTCTCACTTATGTCATGGTAAAGCACCAGGGTGCTAGACAGTACTATCAAGAGTACTTGTAATATTCATGTTGATTGTTGGTGTGTACAGGCACCAGGAACCAGTGATAAATTTACTGTGTTGTGTATATCTTTCTATAGATTTTGATATGAACATATAGTGGTAAAAATATATATAAGATTATGCCAGTATTTGGAGGTTAGGCTATGTGCCCAGAAACTATTTATTTTCCATGTATTGATGATTGATTTATATACCATATATATGTCTATGTTCATTCAGTGAATAATCATTTGTGAGTACAGTGAATTATTGCGTTACCGCCCACGGGAGAAAGTACTGAAAACTCCCGTGTTAATATTTCATTATATATTGTTGGATAAATAACAGTGTAAGACCATTACAGTGAATCATTATAGAATTGATTGTAGAAAAGACTGTTTGAGCCTGAGTACAGTGTAACTAAGTAATTCGGTTTATTTGTGCCAATATAGAGTGTGCGAGTTTCTAGTAATATTGGAGAATTTAAAGAAACCGCGCGCGTGAATCTAGCAAACAAGCAAATTTCGCGCGGAGTGACCATTGCGATCAGCTGTTCTTGACACTTGATGAGGAGGGG